GTACTGTGTCCGCAGTCTCTGGTCATCTCCTGTACTGTGTCCGCAGTCTCTGGTCATCTCCTGTACTATGTCCGCAGTCTCTGGTCATCTCCTGTACTATGTCCGCAGTCTCTGGTCATCTCCTGTACTATGTCCGCAGTCTCTGGTCATCTCCTGTACTGTGTCTGCAGTCTCTGGTCATCTCCTGTGCTATGTCTGCAGTCTATTGGTTCAGAATATTTTTTTTCGTGTTTTCCGCCTCTAAAATCTAGGTGCGACTTATGGTCAGGTGCGTCTTATGGAGCGAAAAATACGGTATTTACTTGGAGCAACCTCATACTTTATATTTTACCAAAAATGTGGGTAATTTATTGCACTTGTTTGCACTAGAATTCACTTTAGTGTGTTTTTACTGAAAATTTTGCATTTCCTAGACCTTTGCGGTAATGTCATGTGACATGAAAAATTGGAACTACCACTATTGTATTCTCTAGGAGGCTGCTTTCAGAAAATATAGAATGTTTGGGTAGTTTGTGTAATCTTCAGGCCTGAAATAATTTTTTAAACGTGTGCAAAAAAGGAAAAAAAACGCTCTTGCAGCAAAAGGGTTACATTTTTTTTCTGTCAGCTTCACTGCACAGAACATGACCAATTTCCCATTGACAGAGCATTATACATTCACTATCTTCTCTCTAATATAACTGAACATCTTAAACGTAAAAAGGGATGTTTAACCACTTCAATACCAGCCACTTATACCCCCTTCCTGCCCAGGCCAATTTTCAGCTTTCAGTGCTGTCGCACTTTGAATGACAATTGGCGCGGTCATGCAACACTGTACCCATATTCTATTTTTAGCATTTTTTTTCACACAAATAGAGCTTTCTTTTGGTGGGTATCTACCGTATTTTTCCTATTTTTCTGGTACAATTGTAACATGTTACATGTTACACCTTGAATATGGGTGTAACATGTAACAAGTTACAAAAAGTGAGGTTATCCTTTAACACCTTTCCGCCCGCCTATAACAGATTGACAGCCGGGCGGGACACTCGCCATTGTGACTGGACGTCATATGACGTCCTGTCAAAATGAGCCGTTCACGCGGCCACGGGACTGCACACATGGGATACAGCCGATGACATATCACTACACCGTTGCCAGTGTCATGTGACCGCTGTGACCAATCACAGCAGATCACATGCCGATTGTATACAATGGATGGCTTCCTGTCATGCCATCCATTGTATACAATTATGTTGTTAGCTGTGACTGGTCAAGGCAGTCTCATGATACAAACAGGGCCAATCACAGCCCATCTGTACCATGTGATCAGCTTTGCCCAATCACAGCTAATCACAACAAAAGTCTGAATGAATTAGTTTCATTCAGTAACAATGATTTCAAATATCAATGAAATACATTGGTATTAGCAGTCATAAAGTGTTAAAAAAAAAAAAAAAATCCTGATCACTTGCCCAGAGTAGTTCAATGTTACTATGGTAACATTGTATTGCTTTGGTCTCAGTGTGCTGAAAAATAAAATAGTAAAAAAAATTAAAAAATGTAATAAAAAATAAAAAAATAGTAGAAACATTTGAAAAAAAAATACAAATTTAATTATTAGTGTTTCAAAGAAATGTAGCAGAATACATTTTGACCTAAATTTATGAAGAAATGTTATTTATTTGCAAAAATTTTATAACAGAAACGAAGAAAAGTGTGTTTTTTTCAAAAGGTTCAGGTTTTTTTTTGTTTTATTTTGCAAAAAATAAAAAACTCAGTGGTGATTAAATACCACCAAAAGAAAGCTCTATTTGTGTGAAAAAAAATGATAAAAATTTAATATGGGTACAGTGTTGCATGATAGCGCAATTGTCATTCAAAGTGCAACAGCACTGAAAGCTGAAAATTGGCCTGGGCAGGAAGGGGGTATAAGTGGCTGGTATTGAAGTGGTTAAACATCCTTTTTTACATTTAAGATGTTCAGTTATATTAGAGAAGATAGTGAATGTATAATGCTCTGTCAATGGGAAATTGGTCATGTTCTGTGCAGTGAAGCTGACAGAAAAAATGTAACCCTTTTGCTGCAAGAGTGTTTTTTTCCATTTTTGCACACGTTTAAAAAATTATTTCAGGCCTGAAGATTACACAAACTACCCAAACATTCTATATTTTCTGAAAGCAGCCTCCTAGAGAATACAATAGTGGTAGTTCCAATTTTTCATGTCATATGACATTACTGCAAAGGTCTAGGACAGTGATGGCGAACCTTTTTGAGCCCGAGTGCCCAAACTGCAACCCAAAACCAACTTATTTCTTTCAAAGTGCCAACACTGCAATGAAACCTGAATATTGAGCTTTTGGTTTAGAGAAAAAACAACTCGTACAGTAGTGCAAACTAATTAACAGTACAGGGATGACCAGAGACTGCAGACACAGTACAGGGATGACCAGAGACTGCAGACACAGTACAGGGATGACCAGAGACTGCGGACACAGTACAGGGATGACCAGAGACTGCGGACACAGTACAGGGATGACCAGAGACTGCGGACACAGTACAGGAGATGACCAGAGACTGCGGACATGGTACAGGAGATGACCAGAGACTGCGGACATGGTACAGGAGATGACCAGAGACTGCGGACACGGTACAGGGATGACCAGAGACTGCAGACACAGTACAGGGATGACCAGAGACTGCAGACACAGTACAGGGGATGACCAGAGACTGCAGACACAGTACAGGGATGACCAGAGACTGCAGACACAGTACAGGGATGACCAGAGACTGCGGACACAGTACAGGGATGACCAGAGACTGCGGACACAGTACAGGGATGACCAGAGACTGCGGACACAGTACAGGAAATGACCAGAGACTGCGGACACAGTACAGGAGATGACCAGAGACTGCAGACACAGTACAGGAGATGACCAGAGACTGCGGACAGTACAGGGGATGACCAGAGACTGCGGACAGTACAGGGATGACCAGAGACTGCGGACACAGTACAGGGATGACCAGAGACTGCGGACACAGTACAGGGGATGACCAGAGACTGCGGACACGGTACAGGGATGACCAGAGACTGCGGACAGTACAGGGATGACCAGAGACTGCAGACAGTACAGGAGATGACCAGAGACTGCGGAAAGCACAGGGATGACCAGAGACTGCGGACAGTACAGATGACTGCTGACCTTTGGGGAGGGAGGGGGAGCGGGTATCTGAATTTGACAGGTACCCGCTCTTACTTCCGCAGAGTTTTTTTTTTTATCTTACCTGTTCCTTTATCCAGCCGCGTGCTGTCTTCCCGGCTTCTGTAGTGTGGGCGCTCGTCGGACAGCCGGATGCCCAGTGCGCATGCGCGAGAAGCGCTGCGCTTTGTGATTGGTCCGGCGGCTTCTGGGATCTGTCATGTGTCCCAGGTACCGCCTTACCATTCACAAAGAGCACTGCTTCTTGCGCATGCGCACTTGGGACCCGGCTGTCACGCACACTACAGAAGTCGGGAAGACAGCGCGCCGCTGGATAGAGGGACAGGTAAGGTCCCACTCCAGAGCTGAGCGGCCGGCCCGGTATTCTGACACGGCGGCGGTGGAAATACCGGACCGGCCGCTCTATATTCGCTCCATAAGACGCACTGACATTTTCCCCCCTTTTTTGGGGGAAAAAAAGTGCGTCTTATGGAGCGAAAAATACGGTATTCTCCTGGCGTGCCCACAGATAAGGCTCGGCGTGCCGGCTGTGGCACGCGTGCCACGGGTTCGCCATCACTGGTCTAGGAAATGCAAAATTTCAGTAAAAACACACTAAAGTGAATTCTAGGGCAAACAAGTGCAATAAATTAACCACATTTTTGGTAAAATATAAAGTATGAGGTTTGCTCCAAGTAAATACCGTATTTTTCGCTCCATAAGACGCACCTGACCACAAGACGCACCTAGATTTTAGAGGTGGAAAACAAGAAAAAAAATATTCTGAGCCAATAGACTGCAGACATAGCACAGGAGATGACCAGAGACTGCAGACATAGTACAGGAGATGACCAGAGACTGCAGACATAGTACAGGAGATGACCAGAGACTGCAGACATAGTACAGGAGATGACCAGAGACTGCAGACACAGTACAAGAGATGACCGGAGACTGCGGACATAGTACAAGAGATGACCAGAGACTGCAGACACAGTACAAGAGATGACCGGAGACTACGGACACAGTACAGGAGATGACCAGAGACTGCGGACACACAGTACAGGAGATGACCAGAGACTGCAGACATAGTACAGGAGATGACCAGAGACTTCGGACACAGTACAGGAGATGACCAGAGACTGCGGACATAGTACACAGTACAGGAGATGACCATAGACTGCGGACACAGTACAGGAGATGACCAGAGACTGCGGACATAGTACAGGAGATGACCAGAGACTGCAGACATAGTACAGGAGATGACCAGAGACTGCGGACACAGTACAGGAGATGACCAGAGACTACGGACAAAGTACAGGAGAGATGACCAGAGATTGCGGACACAGTACAGGAGATGACCAGAGACTGCGGACACAGTACAGGAGATGACCAGAGACTGCGGACACAGTACAGGAGATGACCAGACTGCGGACATAGTACAGGGAGATGACCAGAGACTGCGGACAGTACATGAGATGACCAGAGACTGCGGACATAGTGCAGGAAATGACCAGAGACTGCAGACATAGTGCAGGAAATGACCAGAGACTGCAGACATAGTACAGGAGATGACCAGAGACTGCAGACATAGTAGAGGAGATGACCAGAGACTGCAGACATAGTAGAGGAGATGACCAGAGACTGCAGACAGTACAGGGATGACCAGAGACTGCGGACAGTATAGGGGATGACCAAGAGACTGCGGACAATATAGGGGATGACCAAAGACTGCAGACAGTACCAGGGGATGACCAGAGACTGCGGACACAGTACAGGGGATGACCAGAGATTTTGGACAGTACAGGAGATGACCAGAGACTGCAGACATAGTACAGGAGATGACCAGAGACTGCAGACATAGTACAGGAGATGACCAGAGACTGCAGACATAGTACAGGAGATGACCAGAGACTGCAGACAGTACAGGATATGACCAGAGACTGCAGACACAGTACAGGAGATGACCAGAGACTGCAGACACAGTACAGGAGATGACCAGAGACTGCGGACAGTACAGGGGATGACCAGAGACTGCGGACAGTACAGGGGATGACCAGAGACTGCGGACAGTACAGAGGATGACCAAGAGACTGCGGACAGTACAGGGGATGACCAAGAGACTGCGGACAGTGAAGGGGATGACCAGAGACTGCGGACATGTTGCAGTAAATGACCAGAGACTGCGGACAGTACAGGAGATTACCAGAGACTGCAGACAATACACGAGATGACCAGAGACTGCAGACATAGTACAGATGACCAGAGACTGCTGACAGTACAGGGGATGACCAAGACTGCAGACAGTACAGGGGATGACCAGAGACTGCTGACCTTTGGGGAGGGAGGGGGAGCAGGTACCTGGATTTGACAGGTACCCGCTCCCACTTCCGCGGAGTTATCCTCCCTTTAGTACGGGCACCCGGCTGACAGCTGGGTGCCCAGTGTGCATGCGTGAAAAGCACTGCGCTTTGTGATTGGTCTGGCGTCTTCTGGGACATGTCATGTGTCCCAAAAGACGCCGTACCATTCACAAAGCACAGCGCTTCTCGCGCATGCGCACTGGGCACCCAGCTGTCACAGCTGAGAGCCCACACTAAAGAAGCCGGCGCAGGAAGACTGCGCAGAGCTGGACTGAGGAACAGGTAAGGTTCTACTGCAGAGAAGAGCTGAGCGGCCGGCCCAGTATTCTGACACGGTGGTGGTGGAAATACCGGACTGGCCGCTCCATAAGACGCACTGACATTTCCCCCCCTTTTTTGGGGGGAAAAAGTGCGTCTTATGGAGCAAAAAATACGGTAGATACCCAACATGTCAAACCTTAAATTTGTGCACATCCGTGAAATGGCAACAAACTTCATTACCCTATGTTTTCTATAGGCGATGCTTCAAAAGCCCCTACAGGTCATCAGTTTAGTGTTATGGAGAAGGTATTGTGCTAACATTATTGTTGTCACTCCGGTGTGCACAGCGATATATAACATGTTAATCGCACATATGACGTGTGAGTTTACTTTCGTACAGGCATATATGTGGGGGTCCTCAAAATATTTTTGGGGGGTGGTGTTATGTGCTTGGGTGTAACTTTATTTTTCGCAATAGAAAAAAAAAATTTACATAATTTTTTTTTCATCACATAGGGGACACAAAGTCCCCTATGTGATGATTTTTAGGTGACAGATTGTCTTTATGGAGACATGCAGGCTCTAATATACCCTGCATATCTCCTCTGGTCTCCATTACTGTAGATGTATTGCAATGCAGATTAGAATTGGCTAGGGACAATGACAGCCATGACCCAGAAGTGACGACTTACCCGTCGCCTTCCGGGTCACAGAAGGAAGGGGAGGAGAGCAGACATTCCTCCACCCGCGGGCACCACCATGGTGCTCCCCGGACCCACAGATAGGCAAGTGGGCCCAGATACATGGCAGGAGTGTAAATGTGGGGGGGGGGAGCACCGGTACTGGGGGCTGTGAAAGCGATTGGGCATCAACGTAGCCACCCGACTGCTTCCACCTTACAGGCAGGAGGCTGACTGTCAGTATTATACACAATCCTGGTGGCTATTTTTAATAACATTAAATTACAATTTGACTTGGGTCACAATTGTATATGCTATATTTTTTTTTTCTTTTTTCCCCTATGAACGTGGAGTTACCCTTTAAGCCAAATCCTCTAAGGATATGCTAGCATAATTCCAGTGACTCAATCTGACCTCAGATAAAACTATGGAGGGCACTTCAAAGTGTCGAATATTGATGTACAAGAAAAATTCCTAGGCACTGTCATGGTACCTTACAAGTCTGAGAAAGCCATTTGTTGAGAGAGTAAAATGTTTAGACCTGCCTTATGTTTCATGTGGACATCAGGTCTGAAACTGCACTCCTCCACTTGGAGTTAAATTGCCTTTCCTTGAATTTAGATTAAAATTTTTACTATGAATTGCCCACCCTGAATCCATGTACAATATACAGTGCCTTGAAAAAGTATTCACACATTTTGCCATGTTACAACCAATACTTAAATGTATTTTATTGTGATTTTATGTGATAGACCAACACAAAGTGGCACGTAATTGTGAAGTGGAAGGAGAATGATAAATGGTTTTCAAAATTGTTTACAAATAAATCTGTGAAAAGTGGCATGCATTTGTATTCAGCCCCCCGGAGTCAATACTTTATAGAATCACCTTTCGCTGCAATTACAGCTGCAAGTCTTTTTGGGGATGTCTCCACCAGCTTTGCACATCTAGAGAGTGACATTTTTGCCCATTCTTCTTTTCAAAATAGCTCAGGGGTGTACTCACGTTTGTTGCGGTTTAAACATTAATGCCTGTGTGTTGAGTTATTTTGAGAGGACAGCAAATTTACACTGTTATACAAGCTGCACACTCACTTCTTTACATTGTAGCAAAGTGTCATTTCTTCAGTGTTGTCACTGAATAAAATATTTACAAAAATGTGAGGTTGGACTCACTTCTGTGAGATACTGTACATAACAATACACTTAACCGCTTAGAACCTCAGTAGAAATACTGCTACAGGGTGGTGCAAAATCACTTATTTATATACGTGATTTTGCATTTCCGGGTAGGGGGCGTGCACGCACCACCTTTAGTGGCTTCAGCTGTTGATCACCCGGTCCGGAAATTCCCCGCCAGGACCCGGTGGTCACCGAGTATCACTGACGAGGGATTGGTCTGTGTGTAAACAATACAGATCTCTTCCCAGTCAGCTCCTGCACGCTGCTCTGTATTGCTCTGCATCTGGGGCATATCTACCGCGAGGCAAACAAGGCATTTGCCTAGGGTGGCAATTTTTAGGGGGGTGGCACGCCCCCCGGGAAGAAGGGACCTTGAGAGCAGTGGTGGACAGAGCCATGCAGGGCCGCCAGCAGAGGGGTACCTTCGGTACTCTTGCAGTGGCCTGGAGGACAGCAGGAGGATCGATGTGGGGGAGGGCAGTTGCAGAGCAATGCTCCTGTACCTCTCCCTCCAGCAGCTGACGAGCCAGGACCAGGGGACAGCCTGGAGCAGGGAGAGGAGAGGATCCTAAGAAGGTGAGCTGTGCTGCTGTGGTCTCTGGGATCTCCCTGTCTCCTTCCCTGCACTGACAGATCGTATGGGACTGCACACCCCCCCCTCCTTCCTGCTGCACAGAGATAAGCAGCCCTTGGAGGAGGTGTGTGTGTGCAACCCCATACGATGTGAGAAACGGAGAGGGAAGAGAGGGGGGAGAGAGAATAAAGAGAAAGAGAGAGGGGGGGAAGAGAGAAAGGGGGAGAAGAGAGAGAGGAGAGAAGGAAGAGAGAGAGAAGAGAGTGAGGGGGGAGAGGGGGGGGGAGAGAGAGGGGGCGAGAGAGATAGGGGGAAGAGAGAGAGAGAAGGGAGAGAGGGGGGCGAGAGAGAGAGGGAAGAGAGAGAGAATCATATATATATATATAAAAGTGTGTGTATATATATATATATATATATATATATATATATATATATACATATACAGGGGTGGACTGACAACTCATGGGGCCCCCGGGCAATAGGGGATCATGGGGCCCCTGTGTCCTTGCCCAAACTCAAAAAAGCCTATGAAAAAGGAACCAGAGGCATCTCATGGGGCCCCTTACTGACCCCGGACCCTCGGGCAGTGTCCGAGTTTCCAAATGGCCAGTCCACCCCTGTATATATATATACACACACACTTATTGACTCTCTCGCTCTCTCATTGGGGGGGGGGGGCACAAAATTTTTGTGTTGCCTGGGGCAGCACAAAGTCGAAATACATCACTGCTCTGCATAGCTTACACTGTAAAACACACACACAGCACACTGTAATACAGCGCACACTTAACCCTTTGATCGCCCCCGATGTTTAACCCCTTCCTGCCCAGTGTCATTAGTACAGTGTCAGTGCATGTTATTAGCACTGATCACTGTATTGGTTCTTTGAAGAGAATGAAACAGAGGATGTGTCAGTTGCAACGGTGGTGTGGGAAGCACATAAAGCTTACATCAGAGGTCTACTCATTGCAATGGGGGCAAAAAAGAAAGGAGAGAAAAGATAAATAGATTATTAAATGAAATATATGATCTTGGACAGGTGCATAAAAGGGAAAGATAAGGAGATAGTGCAGATGTTAATAAAGAAGAAAGAAGAATTAGAGAATGTAATGGAGGAGGAAAAAAGAAGAGTCTTTAATAAAATAACAAGTGAAAGGTATAGATGGGGAGATAGGCCGGGAAAGTATCTAATGAGAACTTTAAGAAAGAAGAAAAATAGAAATTATATTGAGAAAATAAGAAATCCCAAGGGGGAATTTGTACACTCAACCAAGGATATTGCTAGAATATTTAAAGAGAATTATAATGAGCTGTATAACATCATACCTCAGGATACGTTTAAGAAAACGGAAACAGTAAATAGAGGAAAAAGAAAGACATACCTGGAGGATGCAGGCCTACCGAAATTAAGCGAAAACACAACTGAACACTTTAGAGGCAGAGGAAATAAAAATAGCGTTAAAAAGCATGGCGGGAGGGAAAAGTCCAGGTCCGGATGGATATACGGCTAAATACTATAAAAAAATATAAAGAGCTTTTAATACCCAAAATGAAGATTTACATGAACGTCTTGGAGAACGGGATGGAGATAAGGGGAGAGTCTTTACAGGCTAATATAGTATTGATACAGAAGGAAGATAAAGACCCCTCGCAATGTGCGAGTTATCGTCCAATAGCGCTGTTAAACGTAGACACTAAAATTTATGCAAAGGTTCTGGCAAATAGACTGAAAGAGCTGATGCCGGAGTGGATACATGGAGACCAGGTGGGGTTTGTCTCGGGAAGAGAGGGTAGAGATAATGCTTTGAGATTATTGTTGCTTGTACAGGAGGGTAGAAAAGGGAAAACCCCAATGATACTGATGTCGATAGATGCTGAGAAGGCGTTCGACAGGGTAAGTTGGAAGCCTTAGGAATGGGAGATAGAATGAGAGGGTGGATTGGAGAGTTATATAGAGGGCCTACCGCTACCATAATGGTAAACGGAGGAAGATCAGAGTATTTTAAGATGTCAAAATTGTACAAGACAGGGATGTCCATTGTCTCCATTGTTATATGTGTTATCATTGGAGCCCTTACTGTCCACGACTAGGAAGAACATAGACATAAAAGGAATAAAGATAGGTGATAGAAAACATAAGGTTGTGGCTTATGCGGACGACCTGATGTTTTATGTTGGAAACCCTAGAACATAACTTCC